GAAAGCTCATTTCAAAAGCCAAAGGTCGAATCAGAGCCAAGAAGAAGATCAGACAGGAAACTGTAGCTTCTGGACCTGTGGAGACCCAGGCAGAGCCGTGCAAGCCAGATGGTGTGGAGAGTAATGTCCTCACTCTGGTCTCTGTAGGTTACGAGACTGTTTCCAGCGGCCTCGGTTCAGTTGGACCTGTTTGATACTTGCTCACATGATAAGTATAAAGACCCAATCATAGTGCTGTTCAAACTGATTCTCAGCGATCGGACAGAGGTCGGGGTAAATTAAGCTCTCCACTGTAATGAGCGCAAAATCATCACAACATGTTACATATTGGTGTCAGGCTTTAAGGAGCTATTCACTTTCAAAGTTGTAATATGTAGTCAGAGCCACAGCTGGTTAACCTACCTTATCAGTAAGGCTGGAAATACACACAGGCTTGATGGCTTTTTTTTTTTTAATATGTATTTTGTTTCAAAGGTGCATATTTAACATGCCCAAAGTTTAAAATAATGAGGTCAGCATATTTACAAGTAAAGCTCAGGCTTCAGCCACTCTAAAGCACTGAATATTTTGCACCCACCTTCTGTTAAAACCTTGTGTTTGCAAAGAGCAGAAACTCAAGACAAAGGTAGGATAGCTGTGAATTCTTCAAAGCTGTTGTAGTAGTCACAAAATAAGAAATACTATAGCTGAAAATAGGCACAATAGGATTTAACAACCCCCTCTATTATTTGTTCAATCCATGCACAAAAACAAGTGTGACAAGACAAAGTTTTCATGGCACTCTGTGCAATAGTTTTTTTTTTTTTTTTTATCTTATTAAAGCACAGTAAATGAAATACGGCTTTAACCTTATGTTTTGTTTCATTTGGATGGACTTTTTGAAAACTGTTTCCACTTTCTGTGCTAAGTTAGGCAATCTGGTGAAATTGCTGCATGTTTATTGTGTACCTGATACAGCTGTGGTGTCAGTCATGTCATCTCAGCCTTTGCAAGAAAGCCAATAAGTGCATTTTCCAAAATCTCCAGATATCTTTTTAAATCGATCATTTGCTGCTTCAGTAACAGGTTTTGTTTCTTGGTATCAGTTAGAATCCAATCATACATTATTTTTTCAGTCAACAGAACATCTGGTACATGGATAATATCAAATGTAGATTCTATTTTTTTTGGCTTGTGGTACATTGTCTCCTGTTTTAATGTTGTATTTATTCCTTAGATTTTCACATCTGTACTAGAATACTGGAAATAGAGGTTTTTACTTGAGTTGAGTAAAACAGGATGATCTAATTTTAAGAATTGTCTTCTGTTGTTCTTTTTGTTATCTCATAAATGGAGCAGGAGCTGACAGAGGCTTTAAATACCCCTATCAGCTGCAATATTAAAGTTCATCTGGGAAACCTAGAGTGTTGCCACCCTACCTGTTTAAACAGCCTTGCTGTCTGAACCCACCCCCTCACTGCTATAGCAGTTGCATTCGATGATGGGTAAGCAGGTTAATGCCCACCACTGCTGAAAAAACTGCTCAGGAAAATACCAAAGAGCCAAAGCAACCAACTCACCCCAATCTGATCCAATCAGATTGAAGTGGCACCACCTTACATCCCAAAATACCTGCAACCAATGGTACCAGACACTAATGGACACCCCACTGCTTGAGCTGATTTAGTTGTACATGGAGGGATATAAATCTAGTTTAGAATAATCAGTTCACTGATGATATAATGTAATAGAGAAGGATTGGAGTGCCAGAGTTGGATTAAAGATTGAAAACAAAATTATAACCACCAGCTTAACATTTTTGTAGGTCCCCATTTTGAGACTATTTCAACTCTGACCTATTTCGTGTCCCATCCGGTGGTGTCTGGCACCGGAGGGCAGGGGAGGGTTCACCCTGCATAGATGCAGTTTCTTGTACTCTTCACCCTGTTCCTTGAAATGCAGAAAAGCAGTTTTTGCAAATTGGCAGAGTGCACTGTCTGCAGCAACATTTAGAAAAGCTGTACTTGCCAAAGTCAAACCCACATAAATACTCAAACCTCTCAAAAGAATCTAGTTTTATAAGCAGATGAATAACTGTCAGTGCGTTTCACCTGTTGTTGTAATAAACTCATCAGATTCAATTCTAATCCAAACTGACACAACGGGGAAAAATTACGCCTAATAATAAGATTGTATACAAGAACAGATGTCCGTATGTCTGTGCTGTTTTGACTTGGATTTTTATAGAAGGTGAAAGGCATTACGGGAGTATAGAAATACACTCAGCA